CAACACAATTCAAAAGAGGAGCTAGTACAGTACTATTACATCTAAAAATTGAGTATAGTTTTAAACATGGGAACAAATCTTAATGAATATGTTAGTTTCTCTGATAATTAGCTGAAGAATTACTCCACCAACTTAGACTAAAGCTAAGCATCTTGGACCCAGATGCCAATTGAGGCGATCATTAGCAGCCTCTCTACCGTCTCCTACGTAAACATTTAATTTTCACCTTTGAAGATTAAATGGCAAAGCCAACAGGAAGACAAGTTATGAGATGTGGTCTCCTGTCTTCAAGTAGCTTAGCATTAACTGGAAGAACTAATGATCATATCACAAAGGAAAAAAGCTAACACCAGCTACATAAAATAAGTGCTGCTCTCCACTAAAATGATCCAAAAAAGAGAGTGAGGATAAATGGCTTAAGCTGCAGGGCCCCAAAAAGGAAAGGAGATATGAACTGAATAGTGAAGACTGGGGAGGATTTCAATATGTGCAGGGAGAAAGACTCAGAGAATCTTAAATGCCCAAAAGGTTGTCATCTAGCCTTTGTTTGGACCTACCCACTAATGGAGAACTGAGATGTTTCTGGGCTGAAGAGACTTGTACTGCAAATGCTTACATTGGGATGAAATCTCCTTTTTTGTCATAAAACATTGGTCCAATATTTGCCCTCTAGACAAAGTCCTCCATGTAAAAAGGCCAGGGACTAATCTCTGAGTCAGTTCTGAGTGTTCCTCTCCTTCCTGGGCCTCTCTCCCCACCTTCCCTTGACTGTCTGATCACTACTCAGGCATTCTGGCAACAAAGATTTCCCACCTGTGCCCCAGCTGCTCAGGACTGGAAAGTTCACAGATACCCAAACTTGACCTAATAGTTTCTGATTTAATTTATCAAAAAACTGAAATGTCTTAGCTTTCAGAACGTTAGAAGGACAGTCAGAGACAGATTAATTGTCTTTCTTGTCGATGTGCTGGGACATGAATATATTTCTCTCTATCTTATTTTCTATATAATGATAGACATCACTTTCTGAAAAAGGGCAGGCTAAGTCTCCTGAAAGTTCACTGTCTTAATGATAGATGTATACACAACAACAAAGACTCAGCAGTCTTAAGAATTCTTGCCTGGAGAGATCACCGTATTATTTGGCAATTCTTTCACATGCTTGTCCTCACTCGGTGCCACGTGAATGTGAGGATTTAAAGGTAATTAGAAGACAAAACAATAAGAAAAACAAAGAGGAACAACATTTATTCCGATTCCAGAAAATAAGAAAAATTAATAAGTAAAAATGAGTCACAAATAATTCAGAAGAAATCAAATTATATTTTTTAAGTTAAATATAATTCGTGGAAAATGCACACTTGATGACTTTTGGCTATCACAATTGTTACTGTCACAGAGTTCATAAGCTTCTGGATCCAAGACCACATTTTCACGTGTTATTAATAAGTTTAAAGTAACACAAATGTGGACTTCTTTTGTTTTTTTTGTTGCCACTAGATGGCGCCTACTTGCTTTTTCTGTAGAAAACTAATGCCCTTCCAGAAGGTTGTAAAATCAATGCAACTTTCAAATCTAATTTAAATTTGTTCCTAGACTCCTAAAAATGCTTTCATCTTGGAATTGAGAGATTTTTTTCTTATTTTTGGGGATTCATTGAGGGTACAAGAAACCAGGTTACACCGATTGCATTTGTTAGGTAAAGTCCCTCTTACAATCATGTCTTGCCCCCCAAAAGATGTCACCAAGACCCCACCACCTCCCTCCTTCACTCTCTCTGCTCTTCCTTTCCCCACCGCTCCCTCCTTATTTCTCTCTCTGCTCTCCCCTGGAATGGAGAGATTTTAATCACACAGGACCAACTCAAAACTTTGTTTCTTTTTAAAAATAGAATTTCACAGGCAGAATCAGGGATGCCAGTAGTCATTTATTTCTCTAATATTTATTAAGCTCCTACTACTTGCCAAGCACTATTTTAGAAACTGGGATATAGTAAAGGGGAAATAATAAGTCTCTAGCTTCATAAAGCTTAAGTTCTAAGAGGTGAAGTGAGAGAGTCAACAGTGTGTGTGTGCCAGATGCTAATGCTGGTCATTCCATAGAGAAGCCTCCTCTGATATGATGAAGTGACATAGAACAAAGACTCAAGAAAGGGAGGGAGCAAACTGTGCTGGCAGGAAGGGCACTGGGGCTGAGTGCCTGGGCAGATGTGGGCATATGGTCCTGGGCACGTGGGGGACAGAAGGAGAAAGAGAGGCCAGAGCTGTGGACAGACCTGGATTTCAAGGGTTTGTGGGCCATTTTAAAGACCTTAATCTTTACTCTAAGTGAGATGATGCCATTTGAAGGGTTTGGGGTACAAGGGAAACACGATGTGATCTAGCTTTGAAACAACTATGGCTGCCATGTCAGGGGCAGACAATGGAGAAAGAGGGAGCGTGCGATCAGAGCAGACCCAGTGAGAGATGCTGGGCTTGGACCAGGGAGGTAACTGTGGGGTGGTGAGACATGGTTAAACTCTAATACACCCTAAAGGAAAAACCAGCAATTACTGATGGATTAAAGTGGGGGTGTGGGAGAAAGAGAGGCATCAAGAATGACTTCAGGGAGTTTGACCTCACACAAGCAGAAGGATTTTCAGATAGAAAAGACAGAAGGGAAGAGGCAGGGTGGGGTGGGGTGGGGGTTGGGCATCAGGAGTTTGGTTTGGGAGCTTTTAAGCTTCTAATACCAATTACACACCTCCTGAGTAGAGAGTCAGAGCTGCTACTTAGAGTGAGGAGCACACAGGCTGGAGGAGACGTCACTCACATTCACAGTCATCTGATACCTGTCTGTTTACTCTGAAAATTTTCCAGAAGATGGCAGTCAAGTGCTTGCAGAAAAGGGCAGCTTTTTCTAATTAGCACAAAAATGCCTTTGGGGCAACATACAGGAGTCCTTCATCCAGGGAGAAATCCAAACTAGGATGCATGTTTGGGATTCATTAATGTCAGACAAGTGATGAGATCACTCAGGGAGAGAGCTAGAGAGCACAGAGGTCACATCACCCGACCCTGGGTTTTCCAAAGCTCAGATGGGAGACTGAGAAGGCAGAAGCCAAGAGACCTTCCACTCCATCAAATCCTGCTAACATGTCAAGGAGGATGAGGACTAAGACCGTAGAATGTAGCAACTTGAGTGTCCTTCAAGAGGTCGACAAGAGCTGTTAGAGTGGAGGGCGGGGAGTCTGGTTGGAGGAGGTTTGAAGGAAAGACGGGAAGTAGAGACTGATTATAGACGATTCTTTTAGGGAGTTTTGTTATAAAGGAGGGAAGCGTGAAGGCACCTGGAGAGGGACGGGAAGCCAAGGAAGA